TAGACCAATTTTACAAAAATAGGCAAAATGAAATTCAGACAGGCTAGCTTCTGCCCATGAAAGGATAAGCAGCCAGATTTTCCACGTTTTTCACAACTTAATTTTTGTATCGTTCACGTCCATTTTAGTAATCCCAACTACAATGTGTGCTTCATGCGTGTTCATTTACCACAGATATAACACAATGTACAAAAGACACAAGTTCGTACTCCAATGGCCCTTACGAAGAAAACATACAAATACATGCCTGACAGTGTCAGCAAGAAACTGCAAGAGGCCCACTCGGCCAAGGTTACTTCTGGAAGCCAAGTAAGATGTGCTCATCCACGCCCCAATCCTGCAGCTCTGGGAACAGATATTCCACAGCCACACTAAGGCTGGAACTAATCATGTCTCTTGGGGCACTCAGCTTCTTTAAAGGCACAAAGTGATTTGTCTGGTGTCTTCTACAGGAGGATGCAGAAGTATAATATAAACTAAGTATTAAATGCACAATTTTTAAAAAATGAACAAAACTAAAGTCACCAAAGGATGCAAAAACAAAACAAAGCTCAGTCATTGCTGTAAGTTTGCTTTAGTATACATAATCCAAAATGTGACCCAGCCAAAAGTAATTATTATTATGCCTTGAATAGGGTTTCAAAGGTGATTTATAGTGAGGGAGCACATTTTCAAATACCTTCCATGTCGTCTCCACGCCTCACAGACACATCAACACCAGGAGACAAGAAAGCCACCAGTAATCCTGATACGATGGCTACCAAGAAAGAATACTTCTCCTGCCAATCTCTAGCTCAAAAGAGCTTTCCACTTCTGTAACTCAAAACAGTGGCCATCCTCTCTGGTCTGGAGGACACATAATGCCCCTAAGGCCACAGCCCTTCTCAGAATAAACCTACAGTGTGAAACTAGCACACAGCATGACAGACTGATAGGTGGGCTCCAACTGCCAGGGCTTGTGTTCAGAAAAAGCAGCAGGACAAACAGGATATGCTCTTATGATTACAGAGGATACCATACAAAGATAATTTTAAAAAATCATCATAATTTCTAAATCGACTTCTTCATTTGACCTGATTTCCTTTAATCCAAGGTTCAGAGCACTGGCTAAAATTTCCAAGACTTGTTGAACACTACAAGGGGCAGACACTTTGGCAAAGTCTCCTGAAAGGACTTCTGAGGCCTAATTACTATCATATATATGTAGACACAGATGCTTAAGTCTTCATGAAGTGTCTGGCTTAAATGGAGAAAAAAATGAGGCCTTTCCATAAAATTAAAATGACACCATAATCTTCAAAGGTAGCATTTCAATTTGTTAAGATGACAACTTCTCACCCAGATCAGAGACGGCAAACTGGAACACTAGAGAATCCATACATGAAACATTTTGGATCCATCACCAGTTTAGGTACTTATGTCAGTGCTGCAACATACACACAAAGCCCCCTGAAAACAAAGCAAGTGAAAACATGTATACATGTGTACACACACACACACACACGCACGCACGCACGCACGCACGCAAGGACACATATATAGCACTGCTGAAAAACAAGAAATTCACATCCATCAGAAACCCACAATTCTGCCTTGAAGCAAAAAATCTTAATCAGGTTATAAATTGCTCTTGTGTTACTATACACACAGCCACTTAATCAAGTGTTGAGTCCTAAGTAACAAAATGTGACTCATGTGTTCAGATTTTTTAAATTCTTTCTTCAAAAGAAAAATGAATATCTTACCAAACACGCATCTGAGTCTGTAGTTTAAAAAAGAAAAAAATACATGGATGAGGCCACAGGAGGGGGAGGCAGGCAGGCAAGCAAGCTAAGTCTCTACTCTTTAACCCAATGCAAAAAAGAAATGCTGTGTCTTATTTCAGCCACACCATCCCCTGCTAGAGAAGCACTCTCAACTACACAGCCTTCTCCACTGGCACTTCTGAGACACCAATGGCCACAAGGGTAAGGACAGGTGACATAGGACATCTTTAACAGCGGCTAGATGCTAGAATAAGAGGAACTGCTAGATAGTAAACAAACAAAAAACCTCATAAACAGTCCTATCTTCACAGGTCTCATCAAGCTGAAAAGATTACTTTCAAAGAAAAAAGTACAAAGATAATGATAAAAAAATGTTTCCTGAGCACCTTCTCTGCACTGGGAACTTACTTTCATTTCAATAATCCTCACAACGACTTTCTGAGGAAATCACTAAGGTTCCTTTTAGAGAGGTGGAAAGGGACTCAGAAGTGACTGAAGTCACAGCACGTGTGCAGCTTCACCCAACCACCACGATGCAGCGTGGCCACCTGGAGCAGAATGGCAGGCTGGTGGTCACTAGCGAAGAGTCAGACTCGGCTACCTCGCTTCTCACCTTCCTCGAGCAGCACTGGACTAGGTGCTAGTGAGACGGCAGACGCCACGCAGCTTCGCCTACAATCACTGCCTGTTTGGGAAGTTACCCTTCCCACTGATAAAATGAAGCGGCTGTACCTGTCCCTCAGGAAGGCTGGGAAGATTAAATGTGGCCTTGTAAGGTATCTAGCACCAAAAATGTTTCTTTTCTCCATCTACTCCAGAGAACATGGACCATAAATAGTGCAATAACTGAGAAGGAAAATACTTCCATGAGATAAAGAAATGTTTCAAAAGATCGTAAGGGCCAGGGGCATCCCTCAGTAATGAACTGCGTGCTTAACACAGCAGATCCTGAGTTTAAAAGAACAACAACAAAACAAGAAGATCAAGGGACTGACCCTTGATTTTGAGCATATTTGGAAAGTACACTGGGAGCGGCCTTCTATCAAAGCATGTAGGTGGACTGACTCCCAGAAAAGGCTGCACACTTACACCAGGACAGTGAGCCTTGTGGAGTGTCCAGTGCTAACAGTCTGCTGCAGCAAGCGTCCCACAGGTGTACCACCCTGCCCTACCACCGATCAGCCGGCACCTACACAAGGGCAATCTTCCATGTCCCCACATGAGTAGGTCCAGAGCAGAACTTCATCTTCTTTCTTGTTGGCCTAACTATACAAACTTCTTCCTCACTCTTCTTTCAGTACCATGATACACAAGTTATGCAGAAGAGGGCCTGCTTAGTACATTTACAGAAGATGCTAGGAAGCTGAAGTCCACGGGAATCTATTGGCTGTTACAGTGTACTTTCAGCAGCTGTCACCTCTATTGCTCTTTATTTCCCTTCACAGCAAGGAATGGATTGAGTATTCTTGATTATCCAAGTTATTTGTGAGTTCATGATAATTCACGGAAATTTAGTTGGTAATTCAATTTACTGAAGTACCTGAATCTAGTTGTCCAACATTTTGCTAAAGTGAACAATCAACAAGCACATTGGTAGAAAGGTATCACTATAGGACTACATTCTACCAGAGTAATATTATCTGATGGGGGGTAGAAAGGGGGCAGGGGAAAGATAGGAAGACTGCAAGATTGAGGTCAGCCTGGGCAACTTAGAAAGCCCCTGTCTCAAAATAAAATAAAAATAAGCTCCAGACATGGTGGCACACTGCTGCAATCCCAGGACTTGAGAGGCTGAGGCAGGACTGCAGGGAGCTCAAGCCAGTACAGACTACCTAGTAAGTTCAAGCTGGCTTGAATTACATAGTGAGGCCATGTCTCAAAATTAATTAATTAATTAGAAATAGGGGTAAGATATAGCTCACTATTTGCCTAACAGGCAGGATAGCTTGGGTTCAATCCCAGGATTGAAAAAAAGACTGCTTTTCTACAAGTGGCAAAATGAAAAATTCATAGTATTTCTAAAAACATAACCTCTAGAATTTTAACCATTCCACATAACATCACCAACAGCTAGTCAGTCCTCCTTGGAACAAGACAACCCTTTACAGGTGCTGGCAACATCGAAGGAGTCCCGGCCCACCTGCTGCCTGGCTCAGTGCTGCTATTGAAATGGCCAGTATCAAATCTCCTCTGACTCAGAGTCTAGAGTCTGCAAGTAGAAATCTGGAAAAGGGTGGAGACACCCTATAAACCATTAGAATAAATTTACATCATGCATACTGAATCTCTCTCTTCATTGATATATATCACTTTCTAGGTATTAAGCTTTTAGTTCTGATCATTGAGTTGGGAGAACTCGGAACTGAACTACCCAGAGAACAAATGTAAAAACAAACAAATCATGAATCATTCTTACCAAAGTCAGACTTACTCTTTCCCTTAGCTGATGTGTGACAATGGACCACCAATCAATGAGTCATCTGTAGGGTGTGACAAGAATGCTCTACTTGCAAGGAACGACCAGCACCTAGCATCACTTATCAGTACCCTGCGACTGGGCCTACACGAATAGATTGCTCAGGGCAGGCTTAGGCCTCTATGTGCCTCCTCTTCCGTCAAATCAACTCTACTAACATACTATTCACACTTAAGCTTTAAGAGCTTTCATTTAGTACTATGCGTGTCTTTCAAATGCATTACATGTCCACAGCAAATCACAGTATCCTTAGGGCCACCGCTTTTCTTACTTGTATGAGTAAAGCAAAGGTGTACTCTTGATTCAAAAACAACTATTTGCCACAGAAATTGTTCTCTAGTGTCCTGTTTTCCAAAACTATCAAAATGCCAAAAATATGAGCTTTGGTGAAGGGAATTTGTTCACTTTTTACTAAGACTAAATTTTAAACTATAAACATTCATTTAACATGAATTTTTATACTGCCTCAAGCCTCAAAAGAGAATGTTACCATCCCCAAGGACTAAATCACTTGTCTCTTTTAAGAGTTATCAGAATAGCATTATGCTGAAAGTGACAGTCTGGCTCCGTTCTGTTTGTTAATGCAGCCCAGACTTGCTGGCCAACTGCAACTGGCTCTAAGTCCTTATCACAAATAAAGCCATTTTTTTGTGCCATTTCTATTTTTCACTTAAACGTCACCAGCTCTTCAAGACTCAGGACCTGTCAAGTGTTCTGTTGCCAGGACTCTGCTTGTCAGAAAGGTCAACATCCAGTACCTTCCAGTTGGGTCCCAAAGGGCCTCTCTTGGTCTTGACTGACTGGAATAAGGCTGGGTCTTCATTAGCTTTGTAGTCCTGTAAAGCAAAACAAAGTCAGAGGCAGAGAAAAAACAGACAACATTCTTTAACCTTGCCAGAACAGCTTTTTGCAGCTACCAAAACCCATGATAGAAACTGATTAAAACTCACTGTGCTTAGCATTTAAGTAGGGAAATGCTTCTATTCGACATTACGTTTTCAGCTTTGCTCCCTTTGCTTTAAGCTTTTATCTTAGACAAAAAACAAACATACAAACAAAACCCTGTATAATAAGTAATGGAAATCTTGTCTAGCAATCCACTATGACTAGTTACTAGACAGCTATCTCCACAATGAATCTGCCAAATTGCCCACAGTTTGAGCATTTTGATAAGGACAGAACAACGTTCCAAAAATAAAATGTATCATCTCACTCTGGCAATCCCTATTAATGCCCATATACAGCTGCCACCATGACTGGGAACACATAAAACTGACTGGGGTTTCCCCATCTCTTCCATGGATCTATAGGAGAAACTTAAAAAGTTCTTGATCTACCCCTCTAATCCTACTTTAAAGGCAGCTAGGGGCTACAGAAACCCCGATGCCTCACGGAAGAGGGGTTATATTCATGTTGACCCTTTCTGTTCAAGGACGCAACCAAGTATCATAGGACAGCCTCAGCTACATCCTGACACAGAGGAATGGCCCCAGAATCTGTTTCTTCTAGTGCAGTGATGGTGAATCTTTTAGAGCTTTCAACAGCATCTCACTGCAGCATGCATGCCACAGGTCCATCACCTCTGTTCTAGTGCATGTAACTCTTATTCCCTTTAATATCCTCTTCCTGAGAGGATGAAGGAAAGAAAAATATGCTTAACCTATCTGCTTTATAAAAATTCTCTTGTCACTATATGCACATAATACTGTACAGATAGAAACAAAAAATTACTTTTGAAGTGTCAAAAAAATTGAGTTGTAACACCAGACAGAGGTCATTCAGTGAATTTAGAATGTGGCAGAGAGAGAGAGAGAGAGAGAGAGAGAGAGAGAGAGAGAGAGAGAGGAAACAGACAGAGACACAGAGACAGATAGAGACACAGAGAGACAGACAGAGACACAGAGAGACACAGAGATGGACAGACAGACTTAGAACGAGAATGAACAAACAAGGAGAGGGGTAGGAGGGAGGGAGAAGGGATGGGGGAAGAGAGCAAAGAGAGGGAGGAGAGGGGCAGACCTTTTCTTTTCAAGCAGAATTTGTGGAACAGGGTTCTTCTTTGCATCTGTCAAGGAACCACATACTTTAGGGAAATCCCCAAGCAAGTCAGATACGAAACTCCAGGAAAAAAAAAAAAAAAAAAAAAAAAAAAAAAAAAAGGACTATTCTAGATCAGGGCAGTTCAAGCACAAAGCACACATTGAACATGCTCTCAAGTATAACATAAACTTTCCAAATCAAAGAAAACATGCTGAAAAGCACTTCTTAAGACCCAACAGTTGCTCAGCAAATACACACGGCATGTTAATTCCTAGGGAGAAAGCTTTAAATAAATTATGTGAAGAAGATATGAGATCCTGGAGGAAAAAACTTTAAAGAAAGATAATAGGGTAAATATGTGACCTTGAATTTGAAGGTCTAAAGGTTGTCCAAGAAGCTACAAAAAGAGCTCAAAAAAATCAGTTTCCTATTATACAAGAAATACAAAATAAAAGATATAGGGCATAGAAAGATAAACCTTTCTCAAATGAGAAGGGGATCAAGAGCTGGATGGAAGTGGGAAAAAAAAGGAAAATGGGTGGGGAACATAGCCAAGAAGGAAAGGTGGGAGAGAGAAGACGTAAAAAGAATTGAGATGCTTTGTGCACATAGACCAACTCCCCACAAGGAATGTAATCACCAAGTACTGTGAGTGTGCAAGGCCCTTGCACTTGCCAGGCAAGCGCTTATTCTACTGAGCCATCTCCCCGGCTCCGTGCCTTAGTTTTAAAATACGGAGTCCACCAAAATAATGTATCTATACCTCAGCTGTTCCTATACTAATATGTGTCTTGAAACTAATTGGTGCCACTTCAAGCACCTCGTGTAACTGTAGAGGCCAAAGTAAATGTATTAATCTCACAATGTCTCACTACATTTAGTATTAAAATGTTTATACAAAATTTTCTTTTCCTGATATATATATTTTGGGGGGAGGGCAGATTCTGTAATATAAAGTGGCACAGCCTGGGCACAAGGTCAGGCAGCAGCACCCAGGAATGAAGGCTGGGATGAATGGCCTGCAAAAAGCCAGACAACTGGTGTTCCTTCCAAGTCTGCGCACATCCGCATAAAGTCCCCCACAGCCAGTTAGCATGCAGCCTTAAACTCCAACGTAGAGCTGCATGCTAAAGACTCACTTCTGAGGAAACAATGAATCGCACAGGTGATCTCAAGACTTGCATTCAAAATGAGAAACAACCCACTCTGCTTTTGTTCTGTTACAGGTTTGAAATAAAAATCTAGAGACCTCACTTTTACCTCAATTAAAAATTAGCATCACATAAAATAATCACCTTCAGCATCATTTCCCTCAACCAAAATCTACCGAACAGCACCCAGTGGTAGACAGCCCACAGGCTAAAGGTAGACTGCGGGGTCAGAGGCCGTGAGAAGGACCAAGCCACAGCTCAGGGCTCCATAAAGTTGGGAGAAAGAGAGGCAAACAAAAGAATAAATAAAACCCCAGGAGTGTGAACAGCCAATGGGAGAATGGGGAGAATTATAGCCCAAATTTAAAACAGTCAAGAAAATGCATTTTTAAAGTGAGTATAAAATCATGCTTAAAAGAAAACAAATCATCATTAAGGTGCATTATGTCTAAGATATTTCAATGTTTAAATTTTAATGACCAGGACAATGGCTACTGGCTGCTTTACTGCATCACCTGGGAACATCCTCTTTTCACCTTTCCCCTACTGACTGGGGTTTGACAATATTGTGGCCTGACACGTGTTTTTCTGCTTTTATTTTTGGATTTTACAAAACCTATGGCGCTCAGATGAACTGAACAATAAATAGCCACCATTTACATAGGATGCTCCATCATTTTCTATAGCATGAAAAAATATTTAGCCTTCTGATTTTGGATTTATTAAAATGAGGATGAAAGAAGGGAAACAGAAGTTCAGAACTGACATACTAGGCACAGAGTGTAGAATTACTGTGAATTTTAAACTTGCCCGCCACAAGAGGAAAAAAGCCACAGAAAAGTACACACAATTACCGCTATGGCTAAGGAATAAAACTGGGAACATTATATGGCGAGGACAGCATACACTTGATCTTAGCCAAAAGCCCGAGAAGCGATAAGAGGACAGTGCACAAACCACAAAAAACAGAATGAACTCGGTCTAAATTGTGGCCAACATGAATTCTTCTAACGTACATTACTTATACCCAGGACACATGCCAAAGCACGACATGGTACCAGGAAAGGTTGCAATGCAAGTGAAGAGATCAGAGGAACTTCTCTGACAACACTCCTCCCTAACCACTTTCCCCCACCAACAACTGCGGGAACTCATAATACCTCTCTGACACAGATTAGTAAGAAGATGGAGCAACACTTCCAAAGTTCTCCATTCTGGACCAATACACTGTTCTAAGAAGTACCTTTTCAAATCTTCATTATCAGTGTAAGTGATGAGCAAGACAATTTTCTGAACTATGGATTACAGAAGCTCAGAAGTGAATCTTAAAAGCCACACAGCTCCCCTCATTTGACAGATGAGGAAACCACCGTCCAAAGAGGTGGTAGTACAGCTTCCCCTCCTCAGAATTCAACTCAAACTTCCTTAGCCTCTGTCCGGCACTCATTCTGACAGAGTGCATAGGATGATGGCATTAGGTGTCAACAAATTCCAGACCACCAAACTATAGTATTATTTCAAAGGCATCAAGAAGCCACACCACTTTACATGGCAATGTGAATTTTCCTATAAGGCAAATATATACATACATATATATATATATATATATATATACATACATATATATATAATAAAATCCTAGTCTTCCCCTCTTGAATACAAAGCTACAAATACTAAAGATATCATACTGAAAATGTAAAAAGCCCAATTATTAACAGTATCACTTTAACCCTGGCAGAGGAGAATAATGCATCCTGTCAAAACTTAGGAATTTTGGTGTTTTTGTGTTAGTTTGAATACTTAAATGTTTAATCAGTTGAGTAGCAAGATATTAAAAAGCAGGAAGCAGATGCAGTCTTGACAACCTCAGTTGTGCATCTCTACAATAAATACAATTTTTTTTTAACAGTATCTTCTTCGCTGCAATTTTATTGTTGGGTATCTAGTTTGGTCTTTCTGTATCTGAAAACTACCTGATTTATATCGGTATCACAATGAACAAATATATTCCTTCATGTATGACAGTTTCAGCATACAGAATGCAACCTCAGCTACCAATTATAGCTGCAAATGAGCAATAGTGTGGAATGAGACAGCCTGCTGGCTTTGTTAGTATTCGGTCTCCTTTGGGATCCCATGGGGAAAGGGGAGGCTCTGATGAAGAGAAGCCCTTGGCTCATGGTTTATTGTGCTTGCCACCAGCTGCAGACTTCTCATCTCATTAGTTCTTTTAGAATACTGTGGGTGAAGACAGCTGTAGCCTACTTGAGTCTTCAGCTCCTGGGTATTCTGAAGGCTGAATTTGCTATGCACTTTCTGTAATCCTTGGGAAAAAAGAAAGCAAATTCACTAGGCCAAGGAAATGCATTTTTAAAATGAATTTTAAAATCATGTTTAAAAGTAGAAAAATTTTATTGCTAAGGTGCATGCATTTAAAGTTTTTTATGATCCAATTTTAATTATCTGTATAATGCCCAGAGGCCTGGCCAGGATAAGGGCTTAGTACAACCATCATTATCAAGTTAGGTGTAATGTCCCTAGACACCACTTGCTCCACCAGTAATAGTGTTTGAACAACATAAAAATACAATAGTAAGAGCATAAAGTAGATTCAGATTAGTGTTAATATGGCTCTATTTAATTGA